GGCTCTGTTCTCACAACTTTTAGATCGATCTATCACCGCGGGGAGTCTCACTAGATTACTGTCAGATAATCCCCCTTAAGTGTCCGTCCCCGCCTACTACAAGCTTTAAGGGGTAATTAACTTTCGTGTCCGCCCGGCTGACAGCTATTTAGCGTGAACCCCCAGGGAGTTAGGTCGATCCAATGTAGGTCGATCTAATCTATGAGAATGGGGTGATAGAGTGTCTAGGGGGACTCTACATTTCAGAACATAGAGTCCGGGACCCGTTATTTCGAGACAGGGAGTCCGCCGGACTCTCAGTTTTAAAACACCGGGTCCGCCGGACCCTAGAATGGTAGGACTCTGTGTTGCTTGACACCGGGGATAGTTGGACCCCGGGGTAAGTTGGCTCTTCATCAATTTATGACAAAGTAACTATGGGTTAAAAGAATTGATCACATCATTTTGTAAAATGACAGAATTTAATAGTGCTAAGAAAGCGTAGGCAGTGAGTCCAAATGAAATAATTTAGCATTTTAAAGTAACTTTATTAAAGAGACTTGATGGGGGCCAATTAACTTACCCCAGAGTGCAACTACCTCCGGTCTCCCCTATAGTTGATCCAACATAACAAATCAGCACAATTTGTTTATGGATTCTCAGATTGACTGCCATATTGGACAGTCGGGAAGAGCTACACGCTATAGTCATTTTCTCAAGTGTTTTACGCTGTTTTGCGCATTTTAGTATGACCAGCCTTTAATATTACAGTAGTTTTCAGCTGTCATGGTTTTTATACAGTATTTTAATTACTAAATCCCAGTCATCACCATACGTTCATCCAGAATGGAATTCACAAAAAAATAAATAAATAAATAAATAAATAAAATAAATAAATAAATTTGTTACCCAGGTTTTCCTCTTATAACTTATGAAATGCATATACTTTGAAAATACATTTTGATAGTCATATATATATATTGTATATTCTTGTATCCACTGTATATGTGATAAGTGACAGATGTTGATTTTTTTTAGAATCTGTACCTCATCAAGATCTGACTTCAAACCCCAACATCAGAATACGAAAGATGTTGGAGACTCCACATTTTCTAAGATGTAAGTTAGTATGATTTTTTTGCACTGAAATACTACTTAGCACTCCTATTATATGTTTTCTAATGTGTACTTCATATGCTAAGGTGCCTGTAACTGTAAAATGGTGATCAGATAGCAATTCTACTGTGTATATCGGGGCTCTCATATGTTTTACTTACCTCTCACCCTGCACACTTCTGAAGTGCCAACCACTTTTGTTGTCAACAAACAAACTACTGCCAGTAACTGCACAGAATCTTGTACTGTATATCAGAGGTTGCTTGGTCCACATGATTGTTCAAGAGTTTGCTCTAGGTGGAAAACTTGATTTACGTGCCAGAGTTATCACTGATGTGGTTTTGTATTTTGATTTGGACAGGATAAACCAGCTGACTGGCTGTAATACATGTAAATAATATTCATAATGTGAACCCAGCTATGAATTCTTAATTTTTTATTATCATGGTGATTTGAATTTCTTGTTTCAGCCTTGGACTGTTATCTTATAATGAATTAAACAGATGAACTTGTCCTTTCCAGACTTGCCAAAACTGTTGAACTATATGTTTAAAGTACTATGGCAGTCTGTAGTGCTGTGTTTAACAGTGTTGATGACAAAGAAATCTTCACATATTTTACTGCAGGTAAATATGTTTTGAGTCTTGTTGACTAATGACCAGTAACTAATACCACATTGTGTGATGTAAAAAGAAGCTCATTGTCTTTTTTTTCCCGCAAGACGTGACTTTCCGAAAATAAGAAGTACTTGGGCTATAGAAAAACAAAAATATTTTCTCCAAAGTTTTTGACTCAAAATTTAATTTGACCAAAATAATCACAGGTACCATTAAGTGTTAGTATATCACCTAAATTTAAATGTAAAGTTGGCTGAAAAAAATTCAGATTGAAACCATCCAATGATGCCTCTTTTGGTCATGATTGGCTTGGCCTGCTCACAGACCTCTGTAATCATATATCTTTTCAGAATCCTCCAGCTATTCCTACTCTGGCGGTGTTGTGGGTGGTTTGTCTGTACAGGGACAGTAGGCTAATAGTGGATTGGCACAACTATGGCTACACCATTCTTGGGCTTACTTTAGGAAGCAGGCATCCTTTGGTGAGATTTTCAAAGTGGTAAGATATGATTTTGTTCAATCTACATCTCTTTTCAGTTGGGTTTGTTCATTTGAAAATAAGACCCACCTGAGTGTAATGCATTCCATTTGGTACATATTGATTAATAATTAACACTGGTGCTCCCCACATTGTATAGGGTGCTTCATAATTATTTTGCTGGTGTACCCATTTAAGTCTTTGGCGTTAGAAGCACCAGTGCTCCTATGTCATAAAGTTACTCTGGAGCCCTAGTCATGTTTATATCTCTCTTCTGCTAATTTCCAGGTATGAGGGTTTCTTTGGACGTCTAGCAGATGGCAACATATGTGTAACTCAAGCAATGAGGGAAGATCTGGCAGAGAAATGGAATATTAGGTAGAATATGGGAGATATCAATAAGGATGAGAACTAAAAAGCCAACTTAATGTGAATCATTGTGATAATCATTCAGTTGCTCTGCATGGTCAAACAGTTGTGCCGTTATTAAGATGTTGACCACTTATATGGTGTAAAACTTGGGTACAATGATTGAATACATGTGTTTCAGAGCTGTAACAATGTATGACAGACCACCATTGATATTCCAAGAATGTGATCAGGAAAAGAAACATGAATTATTCAGCAAACTCAAGAATGAGTATAGCGTTTTCAAAGATAGGTATAAAATATTGCATCACTTATATTTTATAAGTAACCAGTATAAGTCATTTGACAAATTTTATTTTACTCTGTAAAAGATTGCTTTCCAAATGAATATGCTTACAGTTTCAGTTGCCTTGTTTAAAAGAAATAAGTTTTCTTAATCAAAAATACCTTCTTTACCTCTTATTTTCTTCATTTTTATAATATTTTCTTAACTCTGTGTAGTTATTTCTATCCCAAAAAGTATATTTTGTTCTTTGGTATGATGTATAGCAATGGACAGTCAGTTTTTGTGGAAAAAATGGAGACTGGAGAAATTTTGGAAAAAGATGACCGCCCAGCTTTGTTGGTCAGTAGCACTAGTTGGACAGAGGACGAAGACTTCTCACTTCTATTGTCTGCCTTGGAGAGTAAGTAGGCACTCTAATTTTGTGAATTAAAGAATGCTTTCTTGGTCCTTTAAAAGAATTGTGTAATTTGTTTTATACTTTTCTGGGTTAAACTTCTTGTATTTTTGGAAGGGTTTCAGAGATTTACTTACCTCATAATATTTTTATTTGGTATTTTCTGAACTAAAACATATTACTGTTTTAAGTATTTCATAATTGTCAATATTATGGGAGATTTGGCCAACTGGCAAAGTTCTAATGTTATTAATTAATCTCATATATTTACCTTTTCACTATATCTATTTCTTCAGAATATGACCAAGCAGTACAAAGTAACAGAAACCTCAGGCTGCCTCATATTATTTGTGCAATTACAGGTGATAAATAGAAGCTTTGAAAAAATTATTATGTGTAAATGCAAGCTATACAGCCCATCTAAGTCATACAGATAACTAAATATATTTTTACATGGTCACAAGTTCAAGATCAGATAGAAAGTAAAAGTCAAAGTCAAACATATTGAAATGCATACTTGCACAAACACTTTAAATAAGTTCCTTTAAATATTTGAATAATAAAGAAACTTATGATTTGAAAGATTGGATGAAGATGTGAAAGCTATTTTAAAGCTTGAATGAATTATAATTAGTTTGAAATAAAACCTGGTCTTACATTTTTTATTTGCCTCAAAGTGCAACAGTAGTCCCTTTGCTTGAACTGAAAAACTGAAAATAATTGAATTAATGTGTTTTTTAGGAAAGGGACCACTGAAAAAATATTATCAAGGCAAGATTGAAGAGAAGAATCTGAAGCATGTGAAAATCTGCACCCCATGGCTGGCTGCAGAAGACTATCCAAAACTACTAGGTCAGTTGTATCCTCATGCTCAGACATGGGATAAGCAATACAGATATGGAATTTAATTTATTTGATCAATTTATTAATTTTTTTTCATGTGGTGAAGTATGCAAAGGTCTGCACATTTTGTTTCTCTTGATTAACCGAAAAAGCAAAAGAATATGTAAAAGAAAATTTATAATATCTCACATTCCATATTAGCCTAATTGGATTTTGCTGGTATTAGATGGGCAAAAAATTTGATGACATTCCCCATCTCTTTCTCAAGTCTTGTAGGAGACTTGATAAACAATAAATGCTTTTGAATCATTCTAAAAAACTGTATCAGTCCTAGAATCAAATAAAAGAAGGCAAACAAAGTAATGTTATCTATACCACCTGTATTTATAACCTATGCCATCCTGCAATGAGCAAGTCTAATGCAAGTGATATATGTAAATATTCTTCCATAGGTTTTATTGACAAAAAGAACAATGTTCTGTTGGAGCAAGTAACCTACATGTGTATCACTCAGAAAGCCACTTGCTTACTGTGCAAAGATGAAAAGAGTAAATGCATTTCATTTGTTATAGATTTTCACTGTAATTTCAGGATCCGCTGACTTGGGTGTGTGCCTCCATACATCTTCCAGTGGCCTAGACCTTCCGATGAAAGTTGTAGATATGTTTGGATGTTGCTTACCTGTCTGTGCCATTCATTTTAAATGGTAAATAACTTAAGTGACATTAAAAAGAAAAAAAGAAGACTATGATAAAGCATGCATTTTTAGCATGGATCTATCTTTAAATATGGTTATTTTTCTCAAATTTGATAACCTCAGTCATTGGCATTTTTCTCTCCATTGCTTAGTTGATAATTGTTAGTTTGAACTTGCATGTAAATAGTTTATTACTGCTGTTTTTTCTTTCTGTTGCATGTCTTGATAAATTTTTCCTTTTATACATGTGTCATGATTTTTTTCTCCTTTTGATAACAGTCTTCATGAGCTGGTGAAACATGAAGAAAATGGATTAATTTTCCACAATGAGAAGGAACTTGCTGAACAGTTGCAGGTATTGAAAAAAAATCATTAATATTTTTCACAGCACTACATAGGTAGTTTTTGATTACAAATATAAATATGTACAAATATTAGATAATAAATAAGTACAGACATTTAAGGTTTATCAGTATGTACAACAATGGAACTACCTTCCAAATGTATCAATTTCAGCTTTGGTTTTATATTGAGAATATATGATGTTTACCTTTCAGGAGCTCCTTGCAGATTTCCCAAAGACAACAAAACTAAAAAGATTCAACAAATGTTTAAGAGAATTCCAGAAATTGAGGTGGAGTGAAACCTGGAAGGAGCAAGTGTGGCCTCTTTTCAGATAGCAAACATCTGCTGGATCTTTTGGAATTCAGTAGAAAAACTGTTACTGGCCTTGCAGTTATATGGTTTAATAACATTGTTATCCTTAAAAGGAATATATATGGATCTTGAAGTTGAGCAACATTAACTTTGTCACTGTCGGTGTTTTTTTTTTTTTTTTCAATGGTCATGGTTAATATATAATTAAAATATAATGTCATACATTACTCAATAACCAATTGCATAGAACTGCTCACATCTCTCCATTTGCTGGTATATCTCTGGATATATAGTATCGGCAGTTCCAAGTGTGTCTTCAGTTGCTGCTGCTGCTGTGTATATTTGTGCAATTTAAAGATGTTATATGTAGGACTTTCATGAGATGAAAAGTTTCAACGAAATTCAACCGTTTCCTCCATGGAGCTGCAGCTTTTATTTTACTTAATATAAAGAGTATGCCCTTGGACTTGAAATACAACCACTTATTTTGGAATATAGTTTATTTTCAGGAGTTTATCCGATTCCATGTTATTTCTGTGCACATATAAGATGCACAAATAAAATGTATATAACTATTTATAGTATCAGCATGTGTTTTTTTTTCTGTCAAGTAAACATCTACATGTGTAAAGCACAATGCAATTGTTAGCTTACACATGCCGAACTAATCCAGTAAGGTCATTGTATCATTTAAATTTTCATACTTGTAACAAGCTATGATGTTTATTTTGGTTCTAAGCAATGATCTGTTATCCAGTCACAAATTAATAAAATTTAAGAGGATGGAACTGCATGGCTCTTCAGTTAAAAAATAATAATAAGGAAGCTCTGTTAACAAAAATGTGTTGTACGACAAAGTAGACAAGCTGTTTATGTGACAAACTTGAGTGGTTAAAATTTTCAATATGCAAACCAGAAGCAAAATTCTCTCTGATCTAGTTGACATTACCCCAGAAATGAGAAACAATAATGCCCTATTTTGGCCAGAAAATGACAAGCAGACGAAAGCATTTATTTCACTGTCTTTTTGCTGATAAAATCTGAAAGGCACCTTAAGGGAAAAATTCAAGACACTATGTATTTTGTCGTCCTTGGCAAGACACGATATTGTGAGAACATTATAATATTAGTTGCTCCTCTGTGAATTGAAAAATACTGATATAAAATGGTTAAAAATGCCTGTCAAGTGTTTGAAAAACTTAAATATAAGTAGGGCACCATGCACTGTCACAGAGTGCAACAGCGGTTTTAAATTTGCATTGACTGGCTTATAGCAGTCTGCATAGTCTCTATAGTGACCTATATAATAGAGACTATAAAATGTAATATAATATATACCCACACGAAGATAAAGCACACGATAGTGACAGTACGTCCTTTACTTTTCTTTACACAAGACGTGCCTTGCAGGGAATATAGTTAATATCGGTGTCTAGTAAGTACACTTAGAAGAGAACAAAGCTAAGTTTTATAATCTGTCATTACAGTATCTCCGAGGAGAACTTCTACAAATGAGGACGAGCAGAGTCTTGCTTTGTTTTACTGTAGTTGTATCAGCATGCATAAGCGAATGCAAGTATCACCCTAACTGGTCGTCTATAGACTCGAGGCCATTGCCAGCTTGGTACGATGAAGCGAAAGTCGGTGTCTTCATGCACTGGGGAGTGTTTTCTGTTCCTAGTTTTGGCGAGACGGCATGGCTATGGGCTTTTTGGCAGAGGGATCATGTGAAGCCGTACGTAGATTATATGACAAAAAACTACAGGCCAGGGTTCACGTATGCTGACTTTGCTCCGGAATTCAAGGCGGAGTTTTTCAATCCTGATGAATGGGCAGAGATACTGGAAGCCTCGGGCGCAAAGTAAGTTCTTTCGACTGGTGTCGATTGGTAGAGTGCTACATGAAGTTATAGCTTTTGTTGTCAGATAAGGTATTGACAATATCCTTTGCATTATAAGATAAATGAAAAGAAATTCAAACTGGAATGAAAATGAACATCTCTTAATCGTTTGTTATTTTGGATACTATGGCTTGTTAAAAACAATTAAACAATTTTAATTGTTAGAAAGAAGGATAATGCAAAGAAAAAACTACTAAACAACTAAATCAATGTTTTCATAATACAAAGCAACTGGATATACAAATTATGCATGTGCTTATTATTATCAGGAGAGACTTCCAATATTTGCCAGCAAATTCTCATAGTATATATAATTTTTTTTTTTTAAGATTTGAGAAATTAGACAGAAAAGTTGTTTATTTAGGATTAAAACCTTAGGATGGTTTTATTGGAATGTAAATTAGGGGATTTCCTTTACGAATTGAAAAACAAAGATAGAAGGAAAACAATTGAGGGCAACATTGTGAATTCCAATTTTATTTAATGGCAAAATTCTTATTCCAGATACTTCGTGATAACTACTAAACATCATGAAGGGTTTACTCTGTGGCCTTCAAAGGTATCCTTCAACTGGAATGCTATGCAGGTTGGACCCAAAAGAGATTTAATTGGTATGCAAGACATGATATTTGATCAGTTACATTGTCATGATTAATATTAAACACAAAAAAATTCACCCCTTTTACTTTTAAAGAACAGCTCAGAGGTTTTTGATTTTACCAAATGAATCTCTATATATATTGAACGTATCAAATTATTACAATTTTTCAATGCCATTCTTCTTATATAATAGGAGAGCTTGCCACTGCAATCAGAAAGAAGACTAGCTTGCACTTCGGCCTCTATCATTCCCTGTTTGCCTGGTTTGATCCTTTGTATGTGACAGACAAGAGCAACAATTTTAAGACACAATTGTACCCACCGGTAAGTGTTTTGCTTTGGTCGCTTCATTAAGGCTGAATTTTAACTGCATTTTCAAAATCTGCAGCAGATTTCTACGAAAGGAATTGAACTTTGAAGGTCAACAGAAAATTATTGTTCTTTCACGACAAATACTGTGCGTAACTAAACCTACACAATTGAATGTTGTTTTTACCTTTTAAATGATGAAATACGTTCTTTTCTCACATGATAGCCATGACAACGGTTGAGGTTATTTTATTCTAGTTAATAAGGTTTTTGAAGTTTTCATCTTTTATCAACATCACTTTCATTTTGAATATCATAATGACAATAACAAACAATCTATTCAACAGGCAAAAGCCTGGCCTGAGCTGTATGAGCTAGTGAACAATTATAAGCCAGAGATTCTGTGGTCTGATGGAGATGCTGGACCTGATTGGTACTGGAACTCTACCCAGTTTCTGGCTTGGCTCTACAATGAAAGGTTTGTACTTGAATCCAAATAAGAAGCATACCCAGACATCCACCTGTATCCTTGGTTTTATTCATGCATATATTTATGACAGTTGTGGTGAGCTCACTCAGGTGTGCACACTTAAACACACATTATATTACCGGTATATATATTTATATAATTCTCATATGACTCAAGATAATTTACAAACATGTAATAAATAGAAAAATTACATTAAATTGTTATACTTTTTAATGTTTCAGCCTGGAATTGGCTCAAAATTTTCAGAAAAAAATACTGTAAATTTGAAACAAATTAGAAAAAAAAAAGACTGTGGACTGAAGCTAACAAGTGTAGATCTGTAGGTGCTGATACTCTGTTTTTTTAAAAAAAATTACATTTATGTGAAAGGCCCATGCTATTGGGAATTCAGAGTGGCCATAGTTTTTAGAATCGGTGTATTTATCAATTAGATGTTAAGGCTTTTTTTTCTCTCTTTTTAGTCCTGTGAAAGATTACGTAGTAACCAATGATCGCTGGGGAAATAATGGAATAATGTGCCACCATGGAGGATATTACACTTGTGCTGATAGATACAACCCTGGTAAACAAGTAGATTACATATACTAGTTCAGTGACTTGAGCCTGATTTGTTTTAGCATTTTGTTTTGTTTAATATGTGAACTGTTATGTACATGTATACTTGGTAAAAACCTCTTTATCAATGCAGCTATTATAATAAGTAACCACCCGAAAGGATCAAATTTTTAGTCTAAATGTAAATTTCTCTGACATAAATCTTAAAAAAAGATAAGATGTAATCTACAGTATAAGAATCAGTCATGAATTATTCAGCTTTTTTTTTTTTTTGGTGTCTGAGTTGGTTGACTGCCAATTTTTTTGTATAAAAGTTATGTATTTAACAAAATCATTTGACTTTAAAGTAAAAAATATGTCTTAAATTAAGAACTAAAATAATATGTTTAAAGACATCAGTCATTTCTTAAAAGAAAGTAAAGAAAAAGGAAAAAGATTGATGTTAAAAGAGTAGTTTTTCCCTTCATTACTTGAAGGAAATTTATTATTATTTCATGAAATGTTAATCAGACTTAATTTTTCCTAATTGTTGGCAGTTTCTTAAGACTCAACACAATTTATTCAGCAAATCTCAAAGCAACAGACTTCTAAAGATTTTTTCACGTGAGAAAAGACATTACAAAGGTTATAGGGCAACTTCTAACTTCCCCTAGCACTTAGATAACATCAAACTTTAAGGTGAATAAGAAAAGAAATATAATTATTTTTTCCCTGTCTTACAGGTAAACTTCAGAATCACAAATGGGAGAATGCTATGACACTGGACCGGGTAGCCTGGGGATATAGACGCACGGTCAAACTGAGTGACTTGATGGCCATGGAGGAGTTGATATATCAAATAGCATCTACTGTTAGGTAGGGTATCAGAACCATTTCCCCACAGACAACCCCCCCCCCCCCCATGTATAGCAACTAAAAATTTAACATTACCTCTTAGGTTTGTCTAAGCTGTTTAAGTGAGCTTCATGATAGCCAATACTTTTGATTTTTTTTTTTTTTTTTTTGTCTTCCTTCTTATATTCAGTAAAGTTTTCAATATATATATATTGATTTTAAAGCAGTGTATTTTCTTTCCTGGAAAGGAGGGTGTTGTCCTAGAATCGTAGGCTGTAGGCCTTATGGCATTTATCTCTTCAGAATGCTTTAACTGGTTTAGGTCTTTATGACATCACAAAAAAAAAAAAAAACTTACTCCAGTATTTATGGTTTTAATTCTTTTTCTGTCAGTTGTGGTGGAAATATCTTGGTGAATGTGGGACCAACTGCATGGGGCACCATAGTTCCAATATTTGAGCAAAAGTTACGTCAAATGGGAGAGTGGCTGAAAGTGAATGGAGAGGCCATCTATAGTACAAAGCCATGGTCCCATCAGAATGATACTGTTACCAAGCATGTGTGGTAAGAAATGGAATCACATTTAATATTATTAATGATGAAATAAAAAGATTGATACTGTCCATTTGAATGCAAAATCTGAAAATATGAACATTTTCATGTTTTGTAAAACAAACATTTTTTTTCTTAGTTTCCAGATTCAGCTTAATACATTTTCTTATTTATCATCTCTTGTGTCAATACTTTTACATGACTAGTGCAGTTTTGATGTTGTTACCTGATATATGATTATTAAATTTTGGCAAACAGTCCCAAAATGACAAATGATTCTGTACACAAATTGACAAACTTTGAATGCTTTTTCAAGGCTTGCTTTACAGAGTAATTCAAATAGTACTCCTTAATATTACATGAATATTTTATCTCTGAAAACTATTTTTCCATTAGGTATACCTCAAAGAAAACTGGGAATGGTACAGCAGTTTATGCCATTGTCTTGAAGTGGCCGACCACCAACATTTTGACTCTTGGTGCTCCGATCCCCACCTCTGGGACAGTGGTCACTATGCTGGGTTATGCTGGTTCTTTTGGATTCAAGGGCATTGGTCAGCAGGGAATAACCATTCGTATACCCGTGATTCCATTTTATGAAATGCCGTGTCAGTGGGGCTGGGTGTTCAAGCTGGAAGGACTGAAAAATGCTGCCTCAAAAGTGGGCTTCTGAATTTGTAACAGCTCACATGAAGAAGTATATTTAGGAATTCTCTTTGGAAATTGGTCAAGTCATGAAATACATGTTGTATAGTCCCTGTTGAACTAAGTTTAGCATTGAGCATAATAAGTCTAAATTTGAGTTAAATTGAAATTCATATTTTGGACATTACAGAGATTATTTCAATAGATGAATATATCTTAAATTGAGATTTACAGTAAGTATGGTTGTGCTGATTCATATTTGTTAATTTGAAAAATTATTTGAAATGCCTGTTTTTTTTTATTAGTATATATATATATATATATATTTTTTTTTTTAATTTTCACTTGAAGTTTCTTAACTGTTTGTTCTTTACTCTTATAATAGGTTTTTTAATTGTCTTTTGTGTAAAGATGACAAAAAGTAAATACTTTTTTTTTTTAAAGTTTAAAAAAGTGACTTATCTATGAGGCATGGTATTTCGATCTTTCCAAAGAGGGCCTTGATCTCATTTTGAAGGATGTTTTCAGGTTTGCGTTTAGATCTTTCTCTGTCACCCCCCTCTCCATGCAATATTTTATTATACTTTTTGGTATGTGTGCAATTCATTTTTTGGAGGAACCAATCTTAACTTTGACACTCCTTCGGTGACCTTGACTTTGATGCACTCTAATTTATGTGTCTGATAGGATTACGGTTAGGTTATCTGAGTAATATACTCAAGGATGCTGAGACCAGGTTGGGATAATTTATTATTAATTAAAAATTGTTAATATAGAAAATAAACCAATCATAATGAATTTTGATAATCTGAAGAAAATTCATTAGATTAAACTTTTCATTTTCTACACTAAATTGAAGTTGTAGTTTACAGAGCTTTCCGTTACTCGGTAACCTTTTGAATTCTTCGGTGTGTTTCTATGATACTGAGCTCTATTTACTAATGTCTCAGTCCTTAATCAGATCCTTAGTGTTGTCAGGATCCTGCACCATGGAGCCAAGTGTCTCAACAAACCCCATTGGCCTGGAAGTTGAGTTGTACCATATAAATTAGGCTTTTAAGAGGTGTAAATATCCAGAATTGGCCATTAATTAAGTGGTGAACAGGTTTTGAAAATGAGTCAACATCCAATAAGGTGTAAAGAAAAGAAGATAAGTCTAAAGCCAATAGTGATTCCATACATGAAGGTGAAAGCTGAACAACAACAGAAATGTATCTATGCCAAATACGGAGTAAATGTTTGTTTTCGACCACACGAAACTCTAGAACACATTCTGTATCACCCCAAAGACAAGCTCTGTAAGGCATAGCTTCAATTTAGATAAGAAAATGAAAAAGTTTCACATGAATGAATCCTACTAAAATGAACATTCCTGTCATTTTTTATACAAATTTTTTTGTTGCACAAATTTTTGCATATGTATATGCATATAAGGATGCACACACATTTATATCTACATTTTTATGTACAGACACAGATGTGTCTGTACATATTGCCATCACCTGCGTCTGTCGTCGCCGTCGTCGCCGATGGCGATGCCGATGCCGATGGCGATGCCGATGCCGTCGCCGTGCACTTTCCTTGTAAACACCATAAGTNCTATAATTCATATTTTAGAGTTATATTTCAAATATTTTGCTAAATATTTAACCAGGCATATTAAAATGGAATAAAGCATATTTAAAATGTTTAATATATAGTGTGGAATTTTATTGTTAAACTTATGTATATACTCATCAAATTGAAAGGAGTTTCCTATCATTTCCATTCCTATCCTATGTGTTGTGACCTGTCACATATGACTTTTTTACTTGTTTTTTTTTAAAGATTCAATTCAGAGGTTTTAATACAAAAACCCCCAGGTTGTAATTCTGACATCTTCAGCAATTTTCTAGTACTTTAAAACGTAGCCTACTGATTAGCAAAGCAATAACTACCAAATATATGTATATGCAGTTCCAAATGACAGTGTCTACATTTGATGCTGTTACATGTACGAGTACAGTTTAAATATCTTAAGTCATAAGAAGTAGGACTTTCATCAACTGAAAACATTCAGTAAAATTAAAATTTTAAATATTCTTTTGGCTTACATTTCACTTAATAAAAGATATGCCCTACTCCTAGCTTGGACTTGAAATATAACCATTATTTATTTTGAAGTTCAGTTTATTTTCAGGGATTTACGCCATTCTGTGATATTTATGTGCATTTGTAGGGTGCACAAATTAAATGGGGGGCGTCTCGATAGTCCGAAGGTTCATTGGTCCGAAGGTTCATTGGTCCGAAAAGTGGTAACATTTTCATCGATTTTTTAATCAAGGGTTCATTGGTCCGAAGGTTCTATAGTGAACATTCGGACCAATGAACCTTCGGACTATTGAACCTTCGGACTATCGCTACGGCCCCAATTAAATGCATACACACTGTAGATAACCCAAAAGATAAAAATGCGGCACGTTCATACTTTCCATGAGGCCTGTCTTGTAAACAACAGTTTAAGTATTAAAATATCGGTGTCTAGTAAGTACAGTTGTAGAAGCAAACAAGACCAAAGTTACACAATATCGCCGCAGAGAAATTCTACAATGAAAACGAGCACAGTCTTGCTTTGTTTCACTTTAATTGTATCAGCGTACATATGCGATTGTCAGTATCAACCTAACTGGTCGTCTATAGACTCGAGGCCATTGCCAGCTTGGTACGATGAAGCGAAAGTCGGCGTGTTCATGACATGGGGAGTGTATTCTGTCCCTAGTTTTGGTGAGACGGCATGGCTATGGGCTTTCTGGCAGAGGGATCATGTGAAGCCGTACGTAGATTATATGACAAAAAACTACAGGCCGGGGTTCACGTATGCTGACTTTGCTCCGGAATTCAAGGCGGAGTTTTTCAATCCTGATGAATGGGCAGAGATAATTGAAGCCTCTGGAGCAAAGTAAGTTCTAGTCTACCGAATGACCTTTAGATTGGACTCAATTTTTTCTAGTTTATTGCATTGTGTCACACTGTGTTGCTGTGTACAGTGCATCTTAGGTAGAGGGGTAAGTGTCTTCAACTAAAGTTGGTTAGTCGTATATGACCCCCCCCCCCCCAAAAAAAAAAAAAAAAAAAAAAATCCTTGCTCACCAAAACTGGGTTAACATGCCATTTTATCATAATATTTGCTGCAGCTAGAGGCATCTTTTTAAATAAAATTACAACTGTGAGCTGAATTAAGTTACGTGTTATGCATCCAAAGAAAAAAATTGTGGCACAATTAGAAAATCTTCATTAGTTATAAAATTTCCCACATGTTACCACAGTACTTACTGATGACATATATTTTTCTCAACTACATGTAAAAATCTGTAAATTTAAATCTAGAGGAGGAATAGGTATAGAGAGGAGACAGAGGAGAGAGAAGTCATACTTGTATCATGTAACTTTTAGTGTAGCAAAATATATTCTGTTGAAGTTACAACATGGAGTTGTTTCATTCTTTTCGGTGTGCAAAGTTTAAGACATGGAACCTGGGAATCTCTGTAGCAGTATTACAGATTGCGTTATCCAAAGATGTGAGCCCCTTGTGCCCAAACCCCGGGGTTTTATTATTAAGGGTCATTTTATGTAATGTGGGGCCCGGGATGGTCTTAGGGTGGTTTCCCACAATGCGAATCTCCTGTTTTAAACTTGAAAAAAGGAAAACTCTTGAGGGGAACACCTTGAATTACAATTTTATTCATTATTACATTCTGATTTCAGATACTTTGTGATAACTACAAAACATCATGAAGGGTATACTCTGTGGCCTTCAAAGGTATCCTTCAACTGGAATGCAATGCAGGTTGGACCCAAAAGAGATTTAATTGGTATGCAAGATATATGATATTTGATCAGCTACTTTGAGAATATTTTTATTCATAAAAGTAGCCTCTTATCTTTTTCTTTTGAAGAACAGTTGAGTTCTTTAATTTTACCAAATGAATCTTTCTGTATATTGAACATATCCTATTATTAGTATTTTCCATACTTATAGGAGAGCTTGCCACTGCAATCAGAAATAAGACTAGCTTGCACTTTGGCCTCTATCATTCCCTGTTTGCCTGGTTTGATCCCTTGTATGTGACAGACAAGAGCAACAATTTTAAGACACAATTGTACCCACCGGTAAGTGTTTTGCTTTGGTTGCATTTTCAAAATCTGCAGCAGATTTCTATGAAAGGAATTGAACTTTGAAGGTCAACAGAAAATTATTGTTCTTTGATGACAAATACTGTGCATAACTAAACCTACACAATTGAGTGTTGTTTTTACCTTTTACCGGTAGGTCTCATGCTTTGCTTCATGCTTTAGGGTTCTGTTTTAACTCCATTTTCAAAATCTACAGGGGAATTCTACTATTACTGGAATTGAACTTTGAAGCTCCGCATAAAGATTTGTTTCAAATTATATGCATGACTATACCTAAGACAATTGAATGATATTTTTACCTTCAAAAAAGTTAAATGAAGTACTTTTCTAGCTCACATTGTAACTGCAACAACTATTGAGTTGATTTTATTTTAGAACTAACTTTAATATTTTTATTTAAATATTTTTGATATTTATTATTTTTGAGGTTTTCGGTTTGTTTTCCAATAACAATATCAATTTCAATAATAATGAAAATTATAAATAATCTATTCAATAGGCAAAAGCCTGGCCTGAGCTGTATGAGCTAGTGAACAATTATAAGCCAGAAATTCTGTGGTCTGATGGAGATGCTGGACCTGATTGGTACTGGAACTCTACGAAGTTTCTGGCTTGGCTCTACAATGAAAGGTTTGTACTTAAATCCAAATAAGATACATATATACCCAGACAAACATGATGGAAACATGATATTGTTTTTAAATAATTTAAAAAATGTTATGTTATTGGAAAAATTTTCAATGTGTATAAAATATATAAAGAATGGTGGGTGCATTATCCATCAATATTTGGTTTAGAGTATGCGTATGATTTATGAAATGTAACGTTTTTTTTTTCTCCATTAAATGTAAAGGCATTTTTTACCTTTTTTAGTCCAGTGAAAGATTACGTGGTAACCAATGATCGCTGGGGGAATAATGGAATAATGTGCCACCATGGAGGATACTACACTTGTGCTGATAGATACAACCCTGGTATAAACAAACAGCACACATATTTAAGTTCTTTACTCTTAGCCTGATTTGTTTTAGAATTTTGTTACAGAAACCTCATGTTAATGCAGCTATACTAGGTAGACACCTTAGGGGATCATATCTTTATTCTAAATGTAA